CTTTCTAACCATGCCGCATATTTTCGGTGGCCGCCGCGCAATGCGAAAATTTTAATTTATACATTTTCAGCTGCTTCTGTATGGGTTTACGTGTGTATGTGTGTGTCAGCGACTTCCTGTTGCAAAATGGAGTTTTATGTATGCGAGCGAGCAGAAGTTTGCACAACTTGTTTATGATTTCTCATGTCAAATGCGCTAGCAGAAGTGGAAGTGCCTGCCTGGAAGAGGGCGTGTCTGGCAGATGCAGTCGGAATAAGTATCTACAAGTGGAGGCCGACTGGTAGGGTGCGCCCGCCCCTATTTGGCACTCCAGAACTTTTTGATTTACTATCCAAGTGTGAGTGCTCTCTCCGGTGTGTGTGTGTGTGTGTGTGTGCAAGTTTGTTTGCCATGTAGCATCTTGTAGTGCATGCTTTAAGGCGCTGGAAGTGCAGTTTATGCTACCATTTGCTAAAGGAAGTCCAAAATGGATTTTTAAAACTTAAATTTTAATGCATATATGTACAAATGTTGTTACAACAATCAAAAGAAGCAAACTCGACAAAGAAAGGTTTGCATATTATACTTGCTAAAAATACAAATAAAAATATAAATCTCAATATCCCAATTATCCCATTCAATAAAATAATTAAGTTATTGTGTATCAGCATCAGACTCTAATCTTATTTTAAATAAGGAATCCCGAGATAGTTTTGTGTAAATAATAGAAAAACTCCGTTCGAAACATGTATTATTTCTGCATAAATGAGCAAATGTGTTTACCTCTTAAACTCTATATAAATTATATTTTTTCCACGTCCGTAAACGTTTAAAGTCTAGACATTCAGTCATCCAGTATATTATCATTTCGAATTATACTTTTTTACATCTGTTTAAAGAGCTGTTGCCCTTTTGCGATGGACAGAGTCAGAGATACAGACACCCGCACAAAAATGCAACTCCAAACCAGAAAGTTTTTTATTATTCCTCCTTTTTTTATTTGAATGAAATGCATTTTATGCAGGGAAATCTTTTTATGCGCCTGAAAGCACGCTTCAGTATAATTTGCGGTCATGTTCATTGATCTCCTGGGAAGCATTAAAATTTAATGATTTATACTATGTTGCCGTAGTGGCGGGGAAGGGATTGGGCTTGGGGATGGGGATGGGGATGAGCAGAATGCGTGAAGGTAGAGAGTGGGAATAAGAGGGACATAGAGAACGAGAGAGAGTGTGAGTAGAGAATGAATTTATGTTATGCCTCTGCCGCTATTTCGGTTTAAGGGTTAACATTGTAAAATTAACAACAATTTGACTTATGCGCGGAGGAGAGCCCCCAGCTCACACACACTCGAGCAACCTAGAGAAAGAGAGAGAGAGAGAGAGAAAGAAATAGAGAGTGGGCCCACAATGTCTGAGGCCTAAAAGTATGCTAAACAGGCCGAGCCGAGTGCCAGCAAAAGTCATAACTCAGCCTCAGCGGCAGGACGGGTGCCTGGATGCCGGCTTGGCGCCTGTTGGGAGGGATGGCCAAGAGCACTTGGCGAAAGGTAGGACCTCCAGCGACTGTTGGCTGCAACTATTAATCAGGCTTTAATTGTTTTTGTATGTGTTGGTCGGTTACATTTGTGGTGCGAGATAGACACACACACACGCACACACATTTCCTCTCAAAGAATAGAGGCCCCATGCATCATGTTGCCCAAAATCTTTTTGTAATCTCTGGCATTTGTCTGGATTTTTCGTAAAGACTTTGAATAGATTTATGCTCCTTTGACAGGCGCAAGATGTGAATGTGGAATCGTATGCCAGAGATCGGGAGAGAGAGCTACTCTCTCACATGTGTCTATGGCTGGGCTTAAAGTATCTTAAAGATATGCCACTGCCAGCAAAGGAACCCTGGAGTAGATTTACAATGGTCTAATAGCGCGTGGAAGGCAAAAGAAAAGGTGTAGGTGTCCTTGATGGAGCATTTACTTACGTGAAACTATGAAGCGGCTTGGAAAGTTTGCAATACTTATATCAAATATACATACATATTCTATGTTCAGCCGTCATAATTTCGAGGCAATTATTTGGTCCAAAAGAGTTTTCTTTTGAATTGTTAATTGAAGACGTGAATTTATTTTAATTTAGCATTTTGTTTTTGGGTTTAAAGCACCCAGACACTCAGACTACACTTTTATCTATATCCATGTCCAGCCTTTCCTTTTTTCACCTGCTTTCCTAACTGTTTCTGTCTCTTATCATCGGTGAGGCATAAATCACGCGTTTAGTTTGCCAAGTGGCTTTTTCGACCGTTTTGCGTTTAACTGTCGTTTTGGCCACTTTTACGTTTTGCAATTTTCAGTCGAACCCGAGTCCACACCCCACCACCCCCGAGCAACTGGCCAGCAGGGGCTTACCAACATATTTAGAATATATGGCAACACTTTGGCAACACCGACACAACCCTTGACCACAGCAAGTGAACAAAATGTAAAAAACAAACCCAAGAGCAGGCCAGAACACGGACACAAGAACCGAAGCACAAACACAGACGATTGCGCAACCACAGCGCAAAACCACTCCAAGTTTCTCGCCCACCAGCACACTCCACTCCCCACACACACACACACACATGGGTACAGTTCAGTACAGTGCAGTACAGTTGGGGCAGTCGAGTGCTGTAGGTCGGTTCGGGGTTGTCATGGCCAGAGTTGCCAACGACAAGGACAAGAACAGCCAGAGCCGCGGCTGGGGCTGGCCACACAAACTTGTAACGTAAATTTTGTATAAGCTTTCGCAAACACAGCCACTCCAACCCCTTCGGCATTTGGCATTTAGATTTGTGCAATAATATATTTTTTAAATTAAAACAAGGAATAGGGGAAAGACTCGTGACTATAAATATTAGTTAGTATTTAAGAATTTCTTTGGAAAATGTATCATCATACTAAAATTTAAATTAAAACTAAAATTATTGGAGGAATGCAAATCATGCAATCGCATCATTATATCCCTAAAGATCCCTAAACAGAAACCTTCTGACCTTTTATGCAAACTTTTATGGAAGTGGTTGCATCAGTCTCATTTATGTAGCTGGTTAATCTATAAAATTACATTCTTTGGATCGTACTTCGTACTGAGGGATCAAATGGAAACATGAGTAGTAGCTAGGTGGGCGATCTCTTTTTTGAATTCAGAGATCTCTGGAAGGAAAGAAAAAAAGTGCGGCTTGAACGACTTCTAGCCCAAAGAGAAATGCAAATGTAAATGCAAGACTTGATTCACTGATTCAATTAATGCTGTGTGCTCAAGTCCATGGATTTACTTATTATTTCAAACATTTAAAAAGACTTTAAGCTAATTTCAGAATAATTACAAGACCTACTGTCGACATTCCGACTAAAGTTCTCCGATACCCATATTTTTTTTGTTGCACCAAAAAAGGTATGATTTTCATAAGGTATGTTGCATAACTACATCTATATGGCTACAATTAATACTCATAATGCTTTCAATGTGAATACGTTACTTCAAATTATTGGGGATTGGGGAATAAAGAACTTTTTAAATTAATATGCACTTTAAGTTCGGAATTCGTGTCGACATCTCTTTTTGCCGGCTGCTGGCCTAATCAGCCAACCGTTTAGTCTGGGCCTGGCCGAAAATATTTTTGTGTGCATTCAATTGTACAATTCTCTCGTTTGCTGTTTGTCTGCCAAAACGTCGAACTATTGCCTGGTCTTCATGTTTACATTAATATTGTTGTTTATCAAATAACAACAGCAGCACCAGCACCAGCAGCACCAACAATAGTACGAGTAGAAAAGTTGTTAAATCGAAAAGACATAAAAGTATCATTAAACTTTGGTGTCTGGCAATCGGTCTGATTCGGTTTGGTTTTGTGTTTTGGCTGGGTTTTGGTTTGGGTTTGGCCAGGCCTGCCTGCTGTTTTTATGATTTTGTTCAACGTTTTTATCTCGTGTCTTTTGGGTTGGCAGACAAAAATTCACATTCTCATATATTTGGTTTAGTCGCTTGTTTGCCAAAAATCTCTATCTGTCTGGCGGTCTGTCCACCTTCTCCCTCCATTGAGTTTGTTGATTATTTATGCACAGAAAACAAATACGAGTACGGCAGACGGAAGGAGAATCCAAGTCGACTTCTGAGTCTTCGATTGTTTTCACTTTTTGGGAACTTTTATCTGTGTTTTTATGTTTGGGTATAAAAAATTTGTCGTTATTTGCTGATGGATTATGTGGCCTATGCTGCATTTGAATAAAACCAATACTCTGAATTATTTATTTAATAAAAACACAACAACTTCAAACTGAATTCATTGCCCTGTGCTCTGCCTCGTTCTGCCCTTTTTTAATCGGAAAAGTCTGTAAACGTATAGGCCACGCCTCCTTGTTGCATTCAGACGGTATGGGCTCATTACTTTTTCGACTTGAAAATATGCACACAATGCGTACACCGGAGCTTCGATAAATTCAGCTTGCACTTGTCTTTCAGCTCGGCAACATGAACAGAAATGAGAGAAAATACCCAAGCATGATGATGTAAATAATACTCTACCGCAAATATTTTGTATAATAAAAAGGCAGATTCCTCAAGGAAATTTAATTAAAGCAGCGATTGATCTTATTGCAGCCTACTTGAATTAATTTTCTTGCCTTTAATTAGCTACCTTTAGCCATCATGAGAGTAGAGTACCCTACTCAACAGGTATTGATGATAGGGTATATAAAAAGCCCCTTTTATTTAGTCCAAAGAGAAGGTATCACTGGAGGCTGGCAAAACAATAGAACTCATCAGCAGCTACAGCAGCAGCAGCATCAGAAGTGCATTGAAAATTGGAAAATTCTCGCATTGCTTCTCAGTTGTAAAGCATAAGAAATTGAATGGAAAAATGGTTTTGCACAAATGCCCAACACACAGAGACTGTCAGTGGGGGTCCCTGATGCCTGCCTTTTTTGTGGGCTTGAGAAGGCGGAGGAGACTCAGCTTAAACATTCAGGTCAAAAGGTTTTGGTTAGACGTTGGGCTCTCTTTTATTTTCGATTGCATTGCTTAATTTTTGGGATACCGTGCTCTGTGTTCTGTGTTCTGTTTTATGTATGTTTTTTTGTATTTGTTTCTGTGTCTGGTATTTAGCGTATGACTGGTTCGCCGTCTAGTTTCTTCAGATTGGGCAAGCGACGGACAGCCTCGGCTATAAAGGCTGCCGGATCCATGTTATCACTGAGCGTATTGCCAGTGAATGTGATCTCGCTGAGATTCGGGGGGACGGCAATGCGCATGAACTCGACCCAGTCCTTGATTAGATTGTTTGAAATATAGAACACCTGGAGCGCCTTCATCGACTCCAGCGGCTTGATCTTCTCAATAATGTTGTAGCTGACCCAAAGCTCCTCCAGGGTTTCGCCCAGCGACTCGATGCCGCTGATATTCTTCAGATTGTTGCGGGCTAAGCTCAGCACCTTCAGATTCTTCATGCCCGATATCCCGCTGATCTTCTCGATCATGTTCGAGGACAGACTGAGACGGTTGCACGCCACCAGAGTGCTCAGAGTTGGATCCATTTTCTCTATCGGCGGATACTGGAATTGCAGTCCAATTTCAGTGGCGCTAATGGCCTCCTGTTTGTTCTTCTCCTCCCAGCGGGACAGTGCGTCCTTGATGCTTGTTGGCTTCGACATAGTTCAGATTTTAGCTATTTATTTTGTCGATGCTAAAATATGTAATGAACTAGGTCTGAGAATATTCGAAACTGCAGTCAAAGTCTACTTGGATTTTACAACTTTGCTGTTTTTACACCCGTACTCAAAAAGAGTTAAGGGGTATTGTTTCGTCATGTCATCGTCGCAGTCAATGTTGTATGTTAAGATTATTTTGAATTTTTTGAATTCTAGTGTAAGTAGGTTAGGGCAAGGCGGGAGCGCAATAAAAGCTCTCTCTTTCGCTCAAGGCGATTCGCCCCTCTTTGCCACCGTCGGTTAGCTAGGCTTAGAACGAAATGTATGAAGTTGTTAGAATAGAATCGTAAAATTGAATTCGATCGACTACGTTCATATTATCGTCCCGCATTTGTGATAAAAGTGTGCAACGCAGATAAGGGATCGTTTCCGACCCCATAAAGTATATATATTCTTGATCAGCATCAAAAGCCGAGTCTCTGTCTGTCGTCCGTCTTGATGAGTGCCTAGATCTCAAAGACTGTAAGAGCTAGACAACCAAATTTTGTTTCAATATTCATGTGGTATCACACTGCTACAAGTGTATTTCAAGTGTATTTCGCCCTGCCCCCTTCCGCCACCACAAGGGACGAAAATCTGTGGCAGCCACAATTTTAAAGATACCAGAAAAGTAAAACGCTGTATCGCAGAGAATTACCATATCTATCAGGGTGCCGAATCTGATTCATATCAGATCATAATTACAGCCAGAATGAAGAAATTAATTTTCAGTTACTTCTCCATCCTCCTCCAGCAAGAGACCCGCTACCATTCTCTTTCTCGCTCGCACACTCATCCTTGTTCGGTGCGCGAGTGCCCGTTATCGGAGACGATGTAGAATATAAATGGTACATGTAGAATCCACATGTTAGATGTAGAATATACATTGTATTTGTAGATATAGATAACAGATGTCGCAAACAAATGTAAAATGTAAAATTTTTTATAATTCTACATAAATCATAAGCTCACATATTTATATACTAACTGAGATCGGGTATAAAAGTAGAGTCGCGTCCAAAGAAGCGACTCACACGTTACACGTTCCTTCTCGTTTGAAATCGATTTTTGGGCATCAAAATATGGATTGTATTAAACAAAGTTACTTCTCTTTCGAAATGACCCGTAGCTCCTTGTAATTTTACAATATTAAAGACCTCGGTTATAGCGTCATCCACTTGCTAGAACTGAGTAGATGAATTTCCTGCCCCAGTGTAATTTATTTATTTGGATGTGTCGCCGCCTCCCCAAGCGCCGTCTGTTCGCTTGTCTGGCGCACGATGATAACTTCATTGGCTTTTGCCTTTGTTCTGGTCTGGCTTTAGGCTGGGTTCGTAGTCGGGTTCAAGCTGCTCCCCTATCCATATACCTATCCCCATTGTCATGTGCTACCTATTCTTTTTGCCAACCGTTTTGTGTCATGTTTGCCATTGTCTGTGTGTATGTCTGAGTAAGTGGAAAGGGCGAAGAGTATCTGCTTTGTGTCAGAGGCCTCCCCGGCACTTTATTATATATATATTTGAGGTGATAATACACTTCACAGTACGCCCCTAAGGGCGCACATTTTTTCTGGAGCCGCGCACTGTCGCCTGTCGTTTGTCAAATAATTTTCTGTTTATTTTTCATCGAACATTTATGCTCCCTTTAAACTGAAACGTTTTGATTAAATATTTGCTGCAGCTGCTATCGCAAATGGTGATATTTGTTGGCAATAAATTATTGAATTTATTGGTCAAAAACGACAAAGAGAAACTTCGAAAATTGGGCCAACATCCTTTTTCATTTTTCTTGATAATCGTCCAGAAATTGGTAAAAACATATTTGATTCTTCTATTTTCGGTTATTTTTGTGATCCCATAAATTGCGTGCCCAATGCGGCAGAACCAACGCAACTGCAGAGTAAGCGGGAGATATACCGACACGGAGTGAGAAAGCAAATAACTACGTACATACACACATATTTACATGCAAATTCTAATTTATGAATCGAGCCAAAGCTTTGCAAAGGCGAAACGACGCGCCGCGACGAGGTGCTAGGACTCGGATAGTGGAACCTTTCAGTGACTGAACTAATGGGCATAAGACTTCCACCTTATCGGCTCCAAACTGACTCCCATTTACATTTCTGTACCAGATTTGCGACGAGCGTGTGGAATTGTGGGCATCTAAAGGTATCTTGGATTTATTACAACAATTGTGATGTTTTGTCTATGCTTGTTCGTCTTGTTCGTGTAACAGCAACAGCAATAAGAGTATCTTGATAATAATGTGTGTTTTTTGGTATGTATAAACTAATTTTAAACTCCGAACTGATCCATGTACTGTATCAGAAAGATTCGAAGACACTCGCAGGCGTGGCGTAACGCGAAGTCCAGTTGCGGGCATTTTGATCGTAATGCTTGCGGTTCGAGATGTACAATTGGGCCATTTCCAAGTCCATGGGGTCGTCTGGATTGGCGTCTGACATCAGCGACATGATGGATAGTAGAAGCTTTTCCACCGTCAGGACCGGGGACCACTTCTCCGCCAGAATGTCCATGCAAATGCTGCCGAAAGTGGAAACGTTGCAGTGGTAAATTTTAGTTCTAAATGCCACTTCAGGTGGAACATGCGGGTATTTCTCTGGGAAAAAGAAATCTAATTCGAACTGCCCTCCCTCGTAGGGCGTGCCGGTAGGTCCGAGAATGGTGGCCAACCAGTGCTTAATATCGTCCTCTACTATTTCCACCTGGCACCCGTCTGTTGGATTTGCCGTTATTTCGGCCATCTCGCGGCAGAGACGCCCAACTGCGGTGCTACGTCGCTGGCCTTGTTCTTGGTCCTGGTCCCGGTTCAGCCCCTGTCCTCCGTTCTCTTGGTGCGCGACGGACACAGATGTTGTTCGGACACTGCTCCGACTCCTGGGTCCAGCAACGACATTTGGAGCTTCAGATGGTTCATCGCCGACTGTAGGCTCTCGTTGCAGTGATCGACGAATGCCGGAGGCAGCGCGCCGTGGAGAATCAGCGCGCCGTGGAGCATCAGCGGCATAGGGAGAGGCAGCAACTCGCAGATTCCTTATGCGAGTGCTGCGTCGTAGAGACATGATCTGGAAAAACTCAAAGAAACTAAAAATACTTTCACTGGGGAGAGCAACATTGCTTACCTAAGTTTTTCCAGTAAAAATTGCAGAAAATTATTTTTTTTTGTTCAGGTCGTTCTGTGCTGTGTGAAAAGTAAAGTTAAAATGATGACAGAACTGAATTTTGGACTTTTGGAATTAAAGAATCACTTTCCAGCACTGACACTGAAAAATAGTGTTGCCACTTTCGTGTGGGAAAGAAATAATACCCTGTGCACACTGAGTACATCCCGGGGGAACGTTCGAATTTTACACCGATTTACCGATTTACACTGGCACCATCTACCGTCCACCATCCATGGAAAAACAGCTGATGAGCGTATACAAGCAAAGATTTATGCAAAAAGTGTTGTTTGTTTGTTTGTTTATTAAGCAAGAATAAATAATAATTGTACATTTTTTTGGCTGTCGTAACTTAATTATGTTCTAAAAATTGAATTAGTGAGTCAGAAATTAAGAAATTCCATCCATTCTATAAAATTATGTCTTACAGCAAAGCACAGCCACCAAGCCAGCAAAATTGTATCCGCAAAGTAAAGCAATCGATTAATCGCTGCTACCAGCTCAACTGGAAAGACAGCTTGGCGCCTATATTTCTCTCGCTCTCACTGCAGTCATATACCATAAGGCCATCTCTATTTTTCCAGCTAGTCAGTTAGAAAAGTCTAAGTTGCAAAGAAAAAGATATAAACATCCAAATTAATAAAAAATCTTGAAATTCGCTCAATACTTCGCATTTACAAATACATATTCGAATTTTACGTGACTATTTATTTTTGCGAGTTGCGAGCGAGTTGGCTATGAGCCGACTATAATAATGGCGTTGCGATAGTTAAGTATACGTTATATGCGTTCACCAGAACTCAAAACATGATGTATGAAATCCATCATTGAGCGCTGATCAAGTTGTCCTGGTGAACGCGCTCATTATTTACATTTTCGCAGTAAATATAATTTAAATATCCATTTTTGCATTTGAAAATTAAATATCAAATAGAAACGTGCGAATAAGGAACATCCCACATGGATGGTGGAAAAATTAGGACATAACCATAACCGGATCATCCCCGAAATGGATGGTGGATGGTCGCCAGTGTGCAATAATGTTATAACGCTATTGATATGATTAATATAAATATGTTTTAGCCATAAATGGCATTAAATGGGTTTCTTCACTTATAGAAAAACGAACTACACTCATGTTCAAATTGAATATGTGATGTTTTAATACAAACATAGTTAAATAAAATAGAATACAATTTGATTAAAATATAAATATATTAATAGGGCTTTTTTCATTTTTTGAGGTTTGATTAACGAATTAACTTATTGTATGGACTTGTGTCTTTCAGATGGTACCCACATCGAAATTAGCCCACCGAAAAGTGATGCCGTGGACTTTTAAAACTATAAAGGCTGGTATTCAATACTACTATTGGCCTTGGTAGACCACAAGTTTGTTGTAAGAACTCATTTACGTAAATATAACTTAACTCGGTTATTTATTCGTAGATATCGATTTTAATACATCAATGCACCTGGCAGATGCAATGACTCGCAAGTGTTTAAGGAGTCCCAATTAAAGCATTTTATTGAATCGACGGGCATCTTAGAGGATAATGCGAAGGACATAGGCGGAGTTTCGATTCCCGTTTGCATTTTGGGAGAATCGGCATTCCGTTTCTCAAAGACCCTCATGAAGCCTTATCCATTTTAAACTTAAGCACCGGTGCAGGAGAAACAATTTAATTATCATCTCTTCAAGTGCAGGCGAGTTGTAGAGAACGCCTTTGGTCATTTAAAGGCACGGTTTCGACGACTGGGAAAAGGAATCGAGAATTCTTCTAAGAATGCCAAAGCAATTATCAAGTGTGCCTGTGTTTTGCACAACTACATAATTGCGAGTGGAGATGGAAACCTGGCACAAGATGTAGCCCCCGAAGAGCATGCCTTGAGTGCCAGAGAGCAACCATGCCTAGACTGCACACTGGGTGATCGAAAGGGGGAAGCGGAGAAAATAAGAAATGCAATATCTTTATATTTTGGCAAGTTTATTTACTTATTTTTAAGCAGCTCTAGGAACTGTTCCTGTATACTCAGAAAATGCTCAACTTGGTCGCTACGGCGCCTCGACTTCTCAGCAATCACCGCCAGACTCTCTGCAGCCATTCTGGAAGACTCGTTGCTAGCCCTCAATTCCTTAACAATTTCATCCCGCTCACCATTTCCCTTCTTTTTTTTCAGAGAACGATGAATTGCTCTCGTCCAATGAGACCGATTCATTTGAGTACATTGAAGCTGAATTTTAAATAAAGATAATTATAAAAACTATTTTTGAGTTACGTGTATTGTTAATTACGTGATCTTTCTTCAATTTGTGACAGAAAGTTGACTGCCTTTGAGCGCCCTAGCACTTGGGCCACCTTCTCGAAATGCATCCACTGATGCACCGTCGATAGCCCGATTAATTTCAGTATTTTGTAAAAATACTAAACAGAATACGGCAAAACTTGCGCCGCATGATTAAAGATGCGGCTGCATCATTGTCTTCTTTTATCCACAACGCTCTTATGGACAACATTGTCGCATGTTCCATTTAAAGCCTAGTACTAAGACGCGCTAAATTTTCCGTGGACCGAAAGTGCTATTTATTCCGCTCGGGACCCAGTGTGACCAAAGTGAGAAAACTTCATGCTCTACGGTTACACTGTTGTTTTGTTTACTTTTGTTACTATGTGCAAATTCTGAGAAAAGTTATTAAAAAAGTTAATAATAATGGACCCAAGGAGAAAATTATTACTAGTAGGATTGGCGGCGCTTGTAGTAGCGGAGGAAGAGGACAATCAACGAAGAAAGCGGCGACAACATTGGGTTAATCCATACCTGCAGGATAGAAACCAGAAGAGTCGATTTTTTACCGACGTGAGAATTATAAATAGCATATGTAGATATGGATGCAAACAGATCTAACAATACCCTTTGGACATTTCTTAGTTTGAAAATATGAATCAGAGGCCATCAGTATTCTTTGAGAATTTTCATATGTCTGAGAAGAACTTCTGTGGCCTTTTTGGATTGGTGGAGCAGTACGTGCTCCCTAAACGGAATACTCGACCAGACGAGTTCCCGCCTAAAGCCAAGTTGGCCATTGTTTTAGAGTGAATATTTTATATGTCCGTGCATTTAGACATATTATACCATTTGGTTTTTTAGGTTTCTTGCTTCCGGTGACTTACAGCGCCACATTTGTTGCACTTATCGTATAAGTAAACAAAACTTTGGAGTTATTATCATGCAAGTGTGCGAAGCTATATGCATTTCCCTGTCAAAAGAATTTCCGAAATGGAACAAGCACAACATGTTACAGTGGGCTAAGGGCTTTGAAGAGGAATGGAATTTTCCGAACTGCATTGGAGCCATAGACGGAAAGCATTTGCCTTTTCTCTACCGACTTTGTTAAAAGTATTTGGCACTCCTGTGAGAACTCGGCAAGCCGCTTGTTTTTTTAAACCTTTCCCTCCATATTTAAAGTCTGTGTGTTGTGTGTGTTTTTGTGTCATGTCATTTGTCATTAGACGACGGAAAATAAATTATATTTCAATGTTCCGATCGAGATGGGAAAATACCATCTGTTGCTTTTCTAGTATGTGTCGAATGTAATTTTTTCGGAACTGAGTACCGGCACTAACCATACAGTCAATACCGGTACAGATGTGCCAGTTCATACAACGAAAAGTGGGCGCAACTGAGTTTGCAGGGCGATATGTTCCCAGATCTTCGGCTGCAGGAAGAATGTAACTTCCCGTTTCGTTGTATATATCACACGTAGCCGACCCTAACATAATTTAGCATTATTGCACTTTTTTAGTGGCTACTTGTAACATTCCATATAATATATGATTGTATTGTCGGTTTCATACGAACATCATCCCTGATTTCGGTCGACGGAAAATTTAGCGCGTCTGAGTACTAGGCTTAACGGAAAAATCCAATGATCCTCAGTGTAAAAAGGGTTTAACATGTAGATTCTACATGTACCATTTATATTCTACATCTTTTTCGCTAGAGGGCGCTCGCGCACTGAACGCGGCAGACTGTGCGAGCGAGAAAGAGAATGAGTAGCGGGTCTCTTGCTGAAGGGGGTGGGGAAGCAACTGAAAATTAATTTCTTCATTCTGGCTGTAATTATGATCTGATATGAATCAGATTCGGCACCCTGATAGATATGGTAATTCTCTGCGATACTGCGTTTTACTTTTCTGGTATCTTTAAAATTGTGGCTGCCACAGATTTTCGTCATTTGTGGTTCCGGAAGGGGGCGGGCCGCTTTTTTGAAATACACTTGTAGCAGTGTGATATCACATGAGTCTGGAAATAAAATTTGGTTGCTCCAGCTCTTATATTTCTCACCGTATTCATAGGAAATAAAATATATCCAATCAACTATGCTATACCGATTGTCGTTTTATCCGCATTCTCACGCTTCTGGGCTCTACATTTATATTGAATATTATTATGAATCGATTTGAAAATTTTTGTTTTGAAATTAAATGGAAACACTTTTTATTTTAAATTTACCATATTAAAGGAAATTAAATATTTTTTTTACCTATTTTAACTATAAAATATATTCAACTTAAATATAAATTTAAATATTTTCATATTAATATTAAAATGTAAGGGAAAAATGTTAAATTTAATACAACCCCTCTTGGATGAAAATCAATTGCTCAAATATTAAAATCTAAGTGAAAATATTAAAATTTCAGGGATTTTTTCTATGGGTATTTCTTTCCGACGACTTTTATAATGTCTATATATATTCTCTCCATGTTCCCTAGTCACCCCTAGTTCTGGGGTATTCTGTGTTTCAGTACTTCCAAGTGTTTCTTGGAGTGCCCGAGAAAATTTAAAATGCATTTAAACAATTAAGCTAGCCGAGTGGTGTGGCTAGAACCTCTCCTGTTGTCCTCCTCTTTGGGAGTTGCGTCAGGCCAGAGCCACTGGAGACCATATGGACATACGCATTATCACTGCCATGAAACGAGAACCCAGAGAAGAGAGGAGAGACGAAGGCTGCCAGTTGGGTGTGGTGCCACGAGTAGCCACAACATGTCCTGTCATGCAGCGCCGAGCTGGACGACATGCGGTAAATGTTACAGTTGTTGACAGCCGTGTTTGTACTGTTTAGTTTCAGTAAACAGGAGCGGAGTGTTCTCCACAGACCGGGTGGCACAGAGGGTTCTAGTACCTAAATAGCCAGGCACATGTCGTACAAAATCGTACATGCATTTATTTCTTTATTTTTTTGCCCCGCCATTTGTGAAATGAATCGCTTTTGCGATATTAAAGCCGAGGCAGAACCTACACTTGGTGGATAGCTGTAAGTGTTGCCTCTCCGCTCTCTCCCCAATTATGTTGGCACTCTGTCACACCTAATGCACATAAACTTATCAAGATGGCGTACCCTTTTCTTTAAGTACGAGTAACTCTCCCATAAGTCACAAAACTAACCAAGGACACACTCTAGTTCTTGTTGGCTACTCTTATTCTTGTTGTCTTTTCCGTAAAACTTTAATGTATGAAAATATTTTTCTCCATAAAACACCTGGTCATAGACACAGACAGAGGAGAGAGTAAGGCACATGCAGGAGTTGAGAAAGCGACAGAGTGAGAAAGAGAGAAAGTGTTGGTGAAGCTTTTGAATATTGAAAACTTTTCCATTGGACAAACAACATGGTAGGGTATTGTCTGATAACAAAAGATGGAAGATAGATTGTAGAAGAGTTTTTGCTTGTTTACTGGTTACAGTTTTCAAGGCAGTCTGGAAAAGTGCTCTGGCACATGGAAAGCGCTTATCAAGTCGGGTCATATATCTACACAGGCTTTAAACTGAAGGTTTTCTAGCAAAAGGTGAATGGAAGTCGGTGGGCTGGCTATCGGTGTGTATACTGTATCAGCACAAATATTTAGTGTCTATTACTTTCCGTTGTTTAAATATTTATATGTATGCGCGTAGTCGCTTCCAAAGTGATAAATAGCTTGTTGCACAATACATAAGTTTAAACTTAATCAAAAAAGAAACCAACACCTTAAATAGCCATAGATTAAATAGGAAATAAATAGAAACGTTCAGATCGCAAAAAAACTGACTACATAATCTACAAATTATGAAATTGAAACCGTCTCATTGCAATTATCGAAACGAATCGGCTTTTGTAATAACTTGACGTAAAACGGCCACTAGTCGCGATGGTCGATTTCAGTTCACAATGAACAGAGCTCTGACTTGCATCGTTTTCTTGCTAGCCAATTTCCCATGGAAATCCGATGGTAAGAGCTATATGGCAATCAATCAATCGTGATAACCAGCTAGAAACTAGAAACCTTCTACAGGGCGTCGTGGATATGGACCTGGAGAACAGGACTGGGGCCACATCGAGGTCAGTCCCGGAGGTAACATGTTCTACTGGCTGTTCTATACAACAGATGCGGATGTTCGGATCTATGCTGACCGGCCGCTGATCGTCTGGCTACAAGGCGGGCCCGGTTCAGCCTCCACATCGTATGGGAATCTAGGGGAAGTGGGCCCCATTGATTTGGACGGCAATATGCGTAACTCAACCTGGGTAAAACATTGCAACGTACTCTTCATTGACCAGCCACTGGGCACTGGCTTCAGCTATATGGATGAGCACACGAAATTCCCGAATGACAACAGAGCGCTTGGAAAGGATCTGGTCAGCTTTATGAAAGGTTTCTATGGCAGACACAAGGAATTCCAGCAGGTTCCCCTGCACATCTTCGGTCAGAGCTACGGGGCCAAGGTGGCGTCAGAGTTTGCTCTCCAGCTGCAGGATGGAATAACTCGCGGGGAGATCAATTGCCGACTGATTTCCGTTAACCTGGTCAGTCCTTGGATATCACCTCTGGCCTCGGTTTTGTCCTGGGGCCACATCCTTATCACAATCGGTGCGATTGATGGCCATTTGTATAGGGAAATCCATGCAGCCTCCCTCAAAGTTGCTAATTTGACAAAAAGTAATCTCTGGAGCAATGCTTCTAAACAGATACCCACAATTCAACGGCTCATAACAGCTCAGGGAATAGATATGTACAACTTTGTGGACCCACCTGAGGAGAACACAGAAGCTCGGGAGAGCCAGATAATGAATGGGCCAGTAAGAGTTGCCCTAAACCTAAGCGAAAATCTCAAATTCGAGAGTTCCAGCAACTTTGTCTTCGACAGCCTCAATCACGACTTCATGAAAGGCGCTCTGAGAACTGGTAAGATCTTCTTATTATCATAATGCAATGCCATTTCTAATCTCCAATTCAGTTAGCCAGCTTTTGAACGACACTTCGCTTAAAGTGAATATAATTTCGGGTCAGCAGGATCTGATCTGCTCTACCATGGGCACGATGCAAGGGATAAGGAAACTGAAATGGAGCGGAAGGAATGCCTACTTGAGTGCACACCGAAAAGCCATCGTTTTAGGGAAGCAGATCGAAGGGTTCCAGAAGACAGGAGGGAACCTGACCATGTTCTGGGTGAAGTTTGCAGGCCACAGTGTGCCCGTGGGAAATCCCAGAGCGATGAGTGAGATCCTAAATATTGTCACGCAGTAAAGAATTTCCTAATGACTGTGCATCCAAGGAATGCTAAGTAAATGAATTATTAATTGGGTAGATTCCCTGAATCTCGCAAGTGCAGATATTATTAATATTAATTCGTGTAATGCAGCCAACGTTTAAATGAGTAATCAATAGTCCACTTGGATTCCTATTCTAGAACTGTGGCTGCCTTGCCCAGCGGAGGATCCTTTGTGGGCTGTTTGTGTGCCAGGACAGTAGACAAATATTGCACATCGTAATTATCCATTTCAAGTGCAGTCATCGTAGCTTTTGTTTGCAGCAATCATAAACGTCAGACAATTCACACACGAGACGGTCTGTCTTGGCCCACTCCTCCAACTCTGCCTGGTCGATCATATTGCGGCTATCCAGAGCCCTCCAGGAATTCTGATGACTCGTCTGGAATCGTTCCCTGTCTGTTTGCGGTTGTGTAACTCAAAACTCGATTGCAAGTGTGCAGACGATGTCGAGAGAGCTGCAGGCAACGGACTGCCGTGGGGACATGAAATTTCGGTATCTCCTTCTGCTCGGCAGCAATGTTATATTGATTAAGGGGAACTTGCCAGATACCTCAAAAGCAGAACTGCTTGCCTCTGCATTGAAACCGACTTCTGGTCCAAAAGCGCAGATTCAGAGGGAGCGAAACAATTAGTGTGTTTGTTTCCATGCGGCATGGAATATTCCTTGAAACCGTTGGGCGTATAGTTTATAAGATAAAAACGTAGCTAAGTTGGGCTATGGAGAGGTTCACACATTGTCTAAACTATTTTAATCATATCTGAATCTGGTGAATGAGCACGGCCACATCCGCATGATGTGACCCCAATTATTCTTGGCTTTGCTAATTTGATTACAAGAAGAACTAAAAGAAAATGAATGCAGGATGTGGACATGAATGCGGCGTAGGGACACATCATCTTACGGGATACTGAGAGCCCTGCAGGCCATGACTTGTGATATGTGGAGAGTGCAGTAGGGCAAACATTTTATAATTTGCTGCAGCAGGACGCATCGCATAAGTCAGCAGCAGCGACGGGCAACGGGCAACGGGCACAGAGATGAACAGAGAAGGAAGACGACGAACAGATGAGATGACGGCACTCTCTTTGAGCTGCCATGTAACCGAATCCTGCAACATGACATCAACAGTGGCAGGAGCAGCATCAGCATCAGCATCTGCCAGTCTGCATTCACATGAATTCTGTGCCATTCGGCCTCTGCTTCGGCTCCTGACCGCAAATGATTTTGCAGTTGACAGTTGTCCGTTGCCATTTGGGGAATTTAGTGTTAATTATGGTCGTAATAAGTTATACAACATGAAGCACCACACATAGTCTGGTCCAAAACCTACCCCAGGGAGCCCTCAACTTGACAATCACTCATTCTCTTGCTCTGCCTCTCCCGTCTCTGTCAAAATGAAACAGAACGAAATTGCATTCAATTTTCCGTCCTTAGGTGAGTTAACCGACCATAGACCGTTTACCCGTCAACACTCAACGCTCCGCAACTTCTGCCAATGCACTCGTCCTTTTCAAACAATGTCCATACGGATAGCTGTACTCCTCGTAGGCAGAAAAAATATAAAACATATTCGCTTGCATATGAATCACACAAGTATCCAAAGAGCCACAGAAAAAACATTCTCAATACGTTTGATATTAATTTAGAGATATTCAGTTTACTGGTGCAATACATCGCAAGTGCTGGCACAAAAATACCCAATAATAATTACATAATAAACAGGACGCTCCGACGTTGATGCATCCATACCCCTGAACCTTGACGACCAATCCCCATTATATCTACGATAAACCCTAAACCCTAAATCCAATCAAATCAGTATGAACTCAAGTAATTAAAGTGAAGCCTTAACGTAAATTGGTTGAATCGCCTGCTTGACTCAAATGCCACCCTTAATGACCTAATTTATATTAAATTACAGTTTAGGTCCCCTGCGGTCATTTCAGTTGCAGACTCACGATTGCCACTAATGCGCATTGATGCAGGGTTTATCAGCATAAAATCCACAAAGAGAATATAATATAATAGAGTAGATGTTCAGACAGGTAGGCGGACGCTCTTGTTGAGCGGAAATCATTGAATCGCATCCATGTGTATCGGCAGAACAGGCCAACAAACATTTCAGTAGGTGGATCAGACGAAGCAGATCGCTGCTACTCAAATGGTCCATTCTGGTGCCATCCACAATTTCTTTAACGAAGATCAATGAAGCGTGACCATGATCACAAAAACTAACAGGCTATCAGAAACGACAAACAGTTTACGTACATTTGCAACAATTCCTGAAGATCGCCGGCAGCATCACATCGGATCAGTGAAGCGTTAAGAACTGGTCCAAACTAACAGGCTTCCAGAAGTTCCATCTAGGCCAAACAGGCCACAGGTATAGGGCAGGAATTGAGGGTTTACAAATACCTTACCTTTAAGCAAAAATCGACCTACTACCAGCACTGCTTGCCTATTCGAATGCTACAGTTTAAGTCAGTTAACCCTTCAGGGCGACGCATATGTGGGTTGATGATGCAACAGTGCCAGCCAATTATCTCAAAGAAGAATGGGAACAGTGTTTAGGGTCACGAAACTAAAGCATTCGAACAGGAGCAAAGGATTCTGTGCAGGAAACTACTCGCTAGCCAAAAAGATGATTTTGTCTACCTGTAGAACCCTCACCGCCAATCGTGGATAGTCGTTGAAATGTAACCAAAACAAATCAGGTATACAGGACCAAACTGAAACCAGTTTCTACTTGTTTTGAAAACAGGTAAAAGTGTATTAGAAGGTAAAATATTGATCCTATGTCTAGGAGAAACCAATGAAGTGGGCTAGCAGAAAATTAGAAACCTGATATGAGGAAAAATTAAATTTACATATCTCCGGCAGCAAACAAATTTATTTACGATAATTCAATTTAAAATATTGTGAATCGCCTATTTGTAATATATGCTAGTGTTGTACCTATGATTAACCATTCAATTATAGTGAAATTATTTTGTATAAAACCATTGAATAATGATGCGATCTATCCGGTTGTCAGCACTAGAAAAATATTTTGTGGCACGCAGCTTCTTTCCTCTGGCAAGCAGAGTGGAGAGTAGTCTTATAATTTTTTGAAACTGATTCTAGGTCACCTTTTACGTTACAACTTAGTGGGAAAAACGACATTTTGCAGCTGCGATTTGATTGCGTCCTTTCATCATTGTGAAAAAATATAAAAGTTGCCTCTTTCTGCACTATTCCACAGCAATTACATGCAACTGTCTTCCTCTTAATTGCTTAAATTTACATTTTTAATTCACGCCCAGTTCCTCTCATCGCCAGCATCGCTAACATCGTCGTCGTCGTCATCATCAGAGACCTCTTCAGAAGTTGAGAACACTTAAGACCTTTACGCAAATCGCTTGATAATTACTTAAAATAATCTACAGACAAGTAACCACAGCAAATGCAATCCAACCCGGGGCCACACCCCCACAGACACGACGCTAAGAAGTCATGCAAACAGAAATATGTACCAGGAACGGAACCAGAGACACAACGGACAGAACAGAACAGAGCAGAACTTGGAGGCAGACCCCAAGAATAAGGATTGTAAATGATGCCCTGAAAAAAAGTAAAAGGCAAATCCCTTTTCGATTTCCCCAGCACGTCTCAGCAGGCAACAAGAACAACATTTGTCTATTGCATAGGGAGAGAGCAACGGGAATAGGTAGAAATACTCGAACGAGTAAGAGTATATAGAAGAAAGGCTGGGAAAGTCCCTTCCTTGGCTTCGGTTTTTATGTGGAAGCTCGAAAAACAATTAAGCGACAAGTGTCTCAATTTCAACGTCACTTACAAACATTTTATGCACCGCTCTGTGTGTGAATTGTCCGGGCAGGGGAAGGCTGCAAAAAGTTTTACCCATTGAAAAGTTACGTATGGAGGAGCAGGAACCAGGAGGACACAGACAGGGACGGACCAAGACCAAATATAAACCAAAAAAAAAGTTAGACAAAAAACGTAATTATTTGTATTCTCTAAGGGGGTCCTTCTAGTGGATCGGGCCAAGCGGATCCCTTGATGGAAGTCTGTGTGTTCCTGAGAGGGGGGCTGGACTGTGTGTGCGTGAGTGGTTGTGTGAATATGCGCATAAAAGTATGCAACGCATTTTAATCGAAAATGTCTGCAGAACATGTGGAAGCCATTCCATGAGACCAGACGCAGATTCGGTGGATGCTAGTGCAAAAGAGGAAGGAAATGTAGGTACGAGCACTACCCGACCAGTCCTTGTTGTATAGAAGCTAATGATAATTGAGGAATATACAAGGAAACACTGACTCTGAACCGTAAGACTACTTGTGAAAAATGCTTGTAAAAAAATCAGTACGCTGCAGCTTAAGTGTTGAAAAAGCCATCAACAACTTCAAGAAATGTGTTTACTCACATAGAAATGTTCTTAGATATTTCTTCGCTCCCAAAATTGGGCACACAAGCCCAAACTAAGACAAATCCCAGAGGATTATATGAATTTGGCCCATAAACCCCATTCTACATCAATAAACTCACCTGAAAGTGTTGCTGGCTGGCCCTGGCCCTGCCACTGGCCCTGACCCACCTCCTGAGGCGGAAACTGCCGAGCACGGAAACGGACATCAAGAAGGTCGGGAGGGGGGGACCTAGCGGCCGCACAGGTGTGTGGTTCAGCTGCTCGGACCAGCACCTGGTCAACCAATACGCACCCACACAGATATTCTCGCCAATCGCTTTCCATTTCGTGTTAAATTACACATTGAATCGGATTGCGGCGGCCATAACATTGTGGCTGAAAGGGAAGAAGCTGGCTTCTTGGACCCTGAACAGTTGCTGCGGTCATTTCGAGCCCTCGAATAGGTTTTTGCGGTTTTTTAATCAAGTTATTTTCCCAGGGGAAAAGGGAGCAGAAGTCCCTGGACCATGCAAGACCACGCAGTCGCATAAAATAAATATATTTCGAGCTCAATTTATTAAATGTTTGCTCAAATAAATCACAAATGTGTTTTCCAATCAAACTTTTTCCTTAAGCCCACAAACGCAAGTATCCTGTGGGTTGTGTGAGTGTTCGAGTTAGGGCCAACAAATGTCTGGCTCTTTGTATCGTTGGACACCAAAATTTATTGCGTTAATTCGCATGTAAAGAATTTTTGCGTACATTTTGTAAGCATTTATCAGGCGTCTTATTATTGACAGTGTTTGGATGGTTGGGTCTCGAGTGCGGTTCGTATTTGGATATAAATATAGATGCCTCATCTTCTGTAAGTTTGTATGCAGTGACAGAAGTTTTCGAAAAATATATGTATATATAATTTATCTAGACTAAATTTATGTTCAACTTGGTCAGCAATAAATTTCCAATGGAGTTCAGCTCGGAGCTCAGGCTTGGTTGAATAAGAATGAAAATTATTTTTGGCGTTTGCTAAATTGGCTTTTGATGTTGTGGGTTAGGGTCAGAATCCACGTTTTGAGTGGGTAAATTAATTGACCGGGTCAATGGTATGTCAATTTATTCTAAAAAATATGAGAGATATATAGAATAAATATATATATAGCAAACATAGGAAAGCATTTTTTTAGATTGGTTTGGCTAAATATTTGAAATTAGAGAAACTAGATACTGTAGAAATTGGTCGGAACCAGAACGACTGACTATAGCTATCCTGCACCACGCTTGCGCTCTCTTTTACCCTCTCCCAGTGTGACTTAGCAGTTAAGGGTGGATTAATTTCTGTTGGTGTCCAAGCATCCATGCAAAAATAGTTCCGTCAGCCATGGTAAACCCCGAATACCAGATAGGTCTCCTACTTACATATATGACGCCCTTTCTCTTTCTTACATAAACTCAATAAATTCTTGTTGGTTGGAGGAAGGGGTTAGTGGGAGTAGTGAACAGAACGGGCTGAAAGTTGCTGTAAACATTTCTGAACAAATTGAAAATTCCCAAAATCGCTGAAGCATGCGAGTAGAAAATGATAGAATCTACAATGAAATGCACAAAAAAGCGAGAGATGGAGGACTGCATCTCACGCACACACACGCACTCGGTCGTATCCGTAACTCCTTCTGACATCCTCCGCACAAAGGTCACAGGGGAGGTGCAGTGGCTGGGCTAGTGGGTGAGTGACACATTTGGCGTGGCTTTGGCATCAAAGTCAAAAGCAACATTTGCGGCGAAGCGAGACCCAGACGCCTTGCAGATAGAGAGAGAGAGAACGACAGGGAGAGAGAGCGCCGAACAAAAGTCAGTTGGGAAAATATTTTGTCATGTCATCAGCGGCATCAGCAACTGAAAACTGGCAACTGTTGCAACGGCCAGCCAACAACCACCCATCCCCAATGGCGGCCGCCACTGTCTCCGTCTCCGTCTGTGTCTCTGTCGCCGCCAAATGTGGTTACAATAATTTATGCACTTGTAATGACAGACAACAAAGTGTTCCAGAAGCCAGGAGTCGTCATCGAAGCAAGACCAAAAAAAGGAAAGCGAGATATTCAGCCTAGTCATCCGGGCAGAACGAATCATAAAATACCCTTTCACATACAGGAAGCCTTCGAAGTACCTTCAGGCTCTGAACTGAGGCAGGGCTATTCTTGTGACAGAAAAAATAATTATAAATATTTCATTGTCCAAATAAATATAAAATATATTTGTATCTTTAGACAGTAACGATCGTAAAATTTACTTCCACTCTACACTAGACTAATTGTGTTATTATTACGAGTTTCGGCAGTGTGTTATGTTGCTGTTATCTTGAATGGTTTTTCCACCGAAATTTCTTGGTGTTCTGGTAACTGTGTTTAATCTGGTGGAGTTTCTGTTGTTCAGCTTTTGGCTTACTATAGAAAGTATAGATTATAATATTTAAGAGCTCATTTTTGTATGCAAAGACCCCGTATAGGCAGTTTAAATTTTCAGTGAATATGTACTCAGTTGGTGGACGACAGATTTGTGTTTATTCTAGAGATTTCTAGATATTTTGTGGCGTTCCTAAACATAATATTGCCGGTCAAACGAAAGTCAGCTAGAATAAAACAATAAATGGTGTCATCAGTGCGTGCAAACCTCTAGTCAAAATGGCACTGCCGCCTGGAAGGGTATAAAACGGACAGAGACAGACTAGTGAAGAGGGAGTGAGAGAGCCGGGTGGCTCCCTTAGCTGAAAGCTCCGGTGCCTGTCAGTTGAGGCGACTGACGTGCAATAAAATGAGTGTCATGTGTGTGTCGTCACTTCGAGGGTCCTTTCCCCAATCCAGACCACCCCACCCCAACCCATTCCGTTGATGTGTTGCCCTTTCCGGGATGTTTGGCTCTGGCTCCGGCTGCACTTCAAAATTAATTTAAAATTTATAGTTGGCGCTATTGCGTTAAACGATGCTGCGGCCACCAACGCGGCGTGGAACAAGGTGGGAAAATGGGAAGCAAGGCCGTTTGCTGGATACATCTATCACGGCGTTGAGTGATTTGCGAGTGTCAAAGGAGTAGTGCTGGGTCGGGTTGGGTTTCAGTCATCGCGACCTCCATTTCGATTTATGTTAATGTGTCGGACCAAGCGGACACCCCAAAGCGATGCGGTTGAAGTACTTAACCCACTAAAGCTCAAAATGGTCGATCTGCTCGAGTGGAAATACAAGTTGTAACGCTGCTGAAGCCTAAAGGGGCCTAAACGAATTCCATAAATGCAATATAATATCGATCGATGGATCTACAAGTATAGAAGTGCTAAAAATGGTTTATGCAATATATACGTATGTCATTTATAGAATTTGAATGTAAATAAATAAAATTAATTAGTTACACTCATTTGTGGTAAATGCTTTTGAGATATATTGTATAATATATGAATGAACGTGTCATTTATTTAAATCTAAGTCTGCATATTCAAAATCTAAATAAAGTAAGATCACTCAATAAGCGGCCCAAGTCATGCTCCACCGATCTCTTAATCTGTAATGAATTATAGCGGCTGAAAAACCGCTATCGGTTTTGAAGTCGATGAAAGTTCAAACGCAGAGGAATATCATCAGGCAGTATCGTATCTGAAGAATAGGCGAGAACCAAAGATTTGAAGGAAGATTGAAGAGGAGAATAAAAACCAAATACATACCAAAAGTAAAAAAAGAAAACTGCAAAACAATATAGTGTACATATGTATGGTGAAGGCTGACATCTTAGATGTCCGGTGTTCGGTGAATGCCATCTTTGGCTGCTTTTAGCACGGTTTCTTGCAGTGCATCATACCTGCAGCGCAGTATCCGGGAAACTGAACGCACTTTAGGAAAAATGTAGCAAGACCCTGGAATGGAATAGATCTTTTAGTTAAAGCCAAACTGTGGCTGATGGCTGGAGGAACTCACCTGGCAGCAGTCACTGCATTGAGCGAACATGTAGGTGAATATGTAGAAGAAGGCGCCGATAAAGGCCACAATAAACGACAGCCAGAGCAAGACAATTAGCCAGAAAAGGAAATACAGTGGATTCTTCATTCGCAATGAGTGTTTTAAATTCCTTATTTTCCGAGACGAATATGATTGGACAGATTTAACAAATGTTACTTGACCAGAGTTAGTTCTTATTTATTTAAAATTTCCATTTTCCATGCGGTTATAGTTAGGCATGGCATACGCCTCACAATCATTGATTTGCCGAAACAGAAAACTACTCTCAACAGATAAACTCCGGAGTCAACGGTTAGTATTGTTTTCGATCACAGAATCACACATAGCCTTAGCTCTCGCTTGGTCTGGAATAGCTGCGAAATGGCTGCCAGGTGGATGAACGGCTCATTAGGCGCTGAAATTACAATTAACTATTCAATTAATTGAGACTGCTGTTTAGAGGACGATACCAAATGTCTCACCTTGATTTTTAATGAAACGCCACGAATATATTAATATTCAATTTTTGCTTTGCTGAAGAAGACTACGAATTCCGCACGGCTCCCTCAGGGGACCTCAGAAGCGACGGACGGGATCTCATTCGCGTACGCATCCAGGTTTAACCAGTCCCAGCAAGCATGCCACCAAGGAGGCCAACAGAACCCATCATACCACAGGACTACAACAGCTCTTTTCCGGTACTCCAAGGCAACGGAAGGCAGCCCACCTCCCACTTCCAAGACCAATACCCTCCCTCAGGTCCCCACCTGGATGCATAGACCATTACTGTTATTTTGCAGGGACTACAGATCTCGTAGCAGCAGTTGCAGGGATCCTGCAAAGCTTGGACCAGCTGCGAATTACAAAAGCACCTCTTCCCTTACACACATCCAGAGATTCACAATGATGTCGGACCTACGGATCGGACTCTGGAACGCTCGCAGGATTGCTCACAACTCCAATTAACTTGCGCTATTCTTGCATGCTCACAATGTTGCTAGTCACAGAGCTCAGAGAACTCAGCTGATAGAGGGACGGCATTAAACGATGGATGGCTACGCTGAATACAGAGCAGATCACCCGAGCAACATTGCCAGAGGAGGAGCTGCCGTCCTCATAAAGAGTGGAATAGCACACTATCATCTGCACGCGGTAAGACTAGGTCAGATCCAGCTAGCAGCGGTCATGGTGGACACCCAGCGTGGAGAAATACTGATCGCAGCCGCCTACCTACCACCATCGACCCCTTGGACCAGTGGGGAGTTCGACAGCTTGCTTAGCCAGCTTGGAAGCAGGTTCATCATTGGAGGCGACTTCAATGCTAAGCACAGAATCTGTGGCACCTACAGGGGAGACCGCAGAGAAGCGGCACTAGCGACGGGTAGCTTTTACACATTTTACCCAAGGTGCCGCCGTTCCAAGCCCCCATGCCTGGACTTTTTCGTCTACAAGTCGATCACCAGCAACCTGCTCTCAGTCCGTAAGGAGCACGAGCTAAGCTATGACCACATACAACTAATCGCGGAACTAACGGCTACAGTCCAGATGATCCCTGCCAAGACGAGGATACTAAAGACTGGAACAAGTACGGCCCTGTTCAGAGAAATTCTGGAAGGTACAAACGGCAATCCACCCCTTAGAAATAAAAACTTATAACTTTTATATTTGTTTGATTATTTTGCATTTTTCTCAGTGACTTTTTTATATATTTTTTTTTTTATTCGATATTTGGAGTTTTGTTTTTTAACAACATTTTCTGCAAACTACTCTTATCGATCAGTTAAAGCTTTCTATAAAAAACCAATACGGTTAACAATTCGTCGATAATATTATTGGGGTTTGGATAAAAAGTTGTACTTTTTTCATGCATTTTTGTGGCCCCGGTTAGGGTCCATGTTCGACACTTAGCTGAGATGATGCCCATCTTCATCTTCAGGCAGCCCCCGGGTATCCCACTATCGCTTGGGCCCCCTCCGACACTCATCCGTCGTCGCCATCTTCTGTAAGTGGGGTAATTTTCAATGTAAACGCAACGCCTACAGCAGCTGCTTCAAATACCCCGCCTTCTTTTCAAGGGGTGTGGGTGTGCGGGCTGGAAACTTTAGCTTGGGCGTAGGCCTCTGGGGCCTTTGGGGCGTGGCGTGGCCCATTCATTTGCATTGTTTGAATGTGTGCGTTAGTGTTGCGAAGGCCGTTGTCGCAGTCGCGTACGGCAATTGCATTTGAAATGCATCCCAGCCACACCCAGTCATCCCGGCAGCAGGGCTAAGTAGGTTCTTCTTCTGAAACTGAGCAACGTTTTTCCAGCACCAGCAAACATATTTCTCCCCCATGCATCCAGCCCACTGAATAGCATCCTCTGCTCTGCTAATATGCAAAATTCACTTGGCCCAACAGTCGCCTCCGGCTTACTTCTTTTCGTTTATTTCTTTTCTTTTATGCTGCTGGTATTTTTGTGTGTTCTGTGCCCTCAAACTTCAAACTAAGCATAAAGTGTTGCCTAATGGGTTTTGAGTGTTTTCGACGACTACAACTACGACAACAAGCGCCATCGAAGGGATTTGGAGCAGTGGTACTGGTTCTGGTGGTGGCGATGGCGATGGCAGGGACAGGGACAGGGACATGATCGGGCCTGCAATGCATGCTATGCATTTTTTGTTGTTTGTCGTTTGCCAAAAGTTGGTCATTAGCGTCGTTTTCTAGCACTGCCGCCTCTGTTGCTGTCGGGCAGAAAAACAGAAAAGTAAATAACAATTAAAACAATTTTTGCGAGCAGCGCAGAAGGCCCTTAATGACTTCGAGCCCCCATCTGAGGTCAAGGATAAGCATTCAGCTGGCTCTTGTTTTCCGCATTTGTTGAATATTTTTGCACATTTATTGAAAAGTGATTTCCGCCATTCGAGATTAATGAAGGAAGGAACTCGGTGAATATTCGGGGAGCTCAATATGGGACTTTGGACTCCATCGATGATGGAGTGCATAATAAACTCCCACAAAGGAAGTTAAGTCAATTGACTTACTTATTTTTATGACAATGTTACGAATATGCCTTAATGTACGAACTCGCATTGTGAAACTTCTATTGAGAGAGTGATAACTGAGGATGATTCAGCTATGGTTGAATCATCAGATAATATTCTTGAATTTTAGAGTATTAATCTGTTCAATAATGTAAAAAAATCCAAGCAGATATTTAATTTTATTATTGATGTTGCCCTTAGCCGGTTCACTTCTTGTTTCTTTCCTTAAAAATGTTAAAGCGTTGTCAGAAATACCTTAAATTCAAGCCATAAATTAAATTCTATTTAAAATGGAATGTTCTATTATTTACGAGTCTTCGCCATTGATGGCATGAATCATGAGATGTGATTCTGCACCCTCTGGACAATCATAAATTAACCAATCCTATGCCGAATCAAGTCCCACCCTGATCCCATGACCCTCATCGGACTGCGTCTTTCAGACGGAGGCGACCCGCAAAATAAACATAAAATTCCACCTTTTGCATCCGATATGCATATAAATCTATTATAATCACTTCGACGCCACAACAAATTATGATTGAGAATGTCCTCCAACCCAAGCTCAACATGAAATAAATCTCCGGAGAGGACAAAGACGGAGTGAAAGGAAAATGGAAGGAAAATGCTTATCCCACTGGTTGGGGCTTGGCCCGAAAAAGGAAATGTCAAGCCAAGCAAAAGATCTAAGGGATATGGTAAATCAAGCTAAATAAATCATTTAAATGATTACAGCTTAACTTTTGACGCTTTTAAGCGAAATTAAATGAAGGCCAGCCAGAAGGATCAGTCTGAGATGAGACAGGGCTGGGGTTGGCCACATCCTATCATAAAAATTATTTATTTGCTTTGAAGAAGAACGCTGAGAAATACCAAAAATGCGAGAAGACGAAACAGAAATGTAACCCAAATCTATGTAAGTGAATCAAGAGAAATCACTTAAGTATATTTTTATGCTGGACATGCTGCCAGGAATTACAAATACAGGGCAGCACGCACGCACGCACAGGAAGAGGCCCAGAACCAGAACCAGAGACAGAACTAGGACCACATCCAAATCCAGGAGCAGGGGCAGGCACAGGACATGAGCGAAGGGACATCGACGACGCGACGGTCGGTCGCTTGGCGGTTTCTGTGGCAGTCATTTGCCCCCAGGGGCTTTCGTTGATATGGGGAGGGGTAGGGCGAATGGACAGAGGGAGAGAGAGAGAGAGAGAGAGCGAACCCAGTTGGGCCAGAGAAGTGCCATCAAAAGGACATCAACACGTAGCAAATAAAAGACATGCCACAAGGATGTGCTGCCACAGCTTCAGACACAGCTTCTTCTGATGCTCTTTGGCCATTGCTACATTGCAAAATTATTATGATTTATATGGCCTTTGGGAATGCGCACTAAAACACATACACAAACCCACCAGAGAGCCAGAGAGCCAGAGAGGGGCGGACAAAGAGAACAGCGAGTGGCGCACAAAGGACTTGGCCAGGATACGTAGAATAGACTCGAGTCAAGTCGAGTCGAGTCGAGTCGAGCCGATTCGAGTCGTCGTCGCAGTGGCCGCAAAACTTTTGCCCGCTGCGACAAAATAGAAAACTTTCTTGGCATAATTCTTTCTATTTTCCGTTTGCCTGTCCTCGCCGTCGCCTCTGCGTATTCCTTCTCTCCGAAATTAGGTTAACACTGACGAATTAAGGACATTAGCGTCATAAAGAAATAAGTAATGAAAGAAGCAGCAAGTTGAGCATTTCAGCTGAGTGCGTAAGGCGCCAACAGCAACAGCAACAGGAAAACAGAACCAACATTTTTCCCCTCTGTCTCTGCGGATTCTGTTGCAGGCCTTTCACAGAGGCTTTTCTCAGAAAGTAAAAGGATACGAGTATGTGCAGCTGCAAGAGAACTGAGAAAATACCAACTGGTATCAAGGAAGTGCAGAGACCAACTTAAGAAGTACATATGTACATCTGTATCTTAGTCTGACTATCTGTACCTTTATGTGCGATGCAAGTGCGATTGTGTGTATGGCTTTCTTTCCCTAATTGGTGTCTCAAAATATACTTTATTTAATTGGCTTTATGTGTGTAACAGGCGTAGCTGTTTGTGCCCCTGGTGGTTTCAATTTTATAACTGTGCGCTGATCCACTCCAACGAGGATCCAACGATCCAACTGCAAGAGCTGGGGACC